GTCTACATTGAGAATTCCAAGCCAGCTGGGGCTACAGGGAGACCTTGTTTCAAAAAACAAAAACCAACAAACAAAAGGTAAAGCTCCGCAAGATGGCTGAGGGGGTGAAGGTGCTTGCTATCTCTCCTGATGACCTGAGTCTGAGCCTCAGAGCCCACGTGGTGCAGGGAGAGAACTGACTCGTAGTGCACCACTCCCCCACACCCCACCACTCCTCACCCACCAAAAACACCCACACAAAAAAACACAGAAAGAAAGAAGGAGAGAGAGAGAGAGAGAGAGAGAGAGAGAGAGAGAGAGAGAGAGAGCTGGAGGTATGGCTCGGTGGTAAAGGCAGTCCTTGGGAAGATAACCGAAATTAGAGTCTTGTGCATTTCTGGCACAAAACATTGCCATAACCTGAGGAAAATCACCACTTAAGGAAGCCTGCGGTTCTGATTGGTTGGCTTTCTTGTTCCCATGGTGACATCCATCACCTCTGTTGTTAAAAGGAATACATGATTCTCACCGAATCAGAAGAGGCTTGTCGGTACTTTCCTCCCACAGCAGGATAGAAACCAAGGCCTGTGACTTTGCTCTGGTTATTTCTTGACAAAGACGTTGGTTCTGTTGAGGGTCAGAGCTGGGGCAGTGGTGGTTCAGAGATGGAGATGGAATATTCATCAGCGTGCCCTCTGGTGGAACATGTGTGAACTGAGGACCCGTCCTGGCCTTGGAGTCTCAGGCACGTGCAGGCTCTCCATCCATCCTTACCTCAGTCCCTTAAAGGTTTCTAAGAGCAGAGAGGTTAAGTCTCTTGCCCAAGGTCACACAGTCAGGAACTGCAGGAGCCATGATGTTCATATTAAACCCAGGTTTCTCTGATAGAGAACTTCAAAAATCTATGAATATATTTTCAAGGGGATTACCCAAGACTTTGACAAGAGGTGCTCAACAGCCTGGGAGTGGAGTAGGAGAGCTAATAATCGTGACTAGCAGATCCTGAGTGTTATGTAATCTCATTAAATCCTCCTGACAGTTTTTGGTAGAGTGTTTGCCTAGAGTTCAATCTTTAGGGTTGATCCCAGGACCACATAAACTGGACATGATATCATACACCTGAAATCCAAACACTTGGGAGGTAGAGGCAGGAGGATCAGAAGTTCAAGGTCATCCTCTGATACACAGTAAGTTCAAGGTCAGCCTGGGCTACATGAGACTGTTTCTCAAAACAAACAAAAAGATAATAGCAATTTTAAAACACTATTTAGATTTTTATTTTGTGTGTATAAGTGTATTGCCTGCATGTGTTTAAGTGCACCTGTGTCATGCAATACCCATGGAGGTCAGAAGAGGGCATCAGATTCCTCTGGAACTGGAGTTAAGGACAGTTGTTGGCTGTCATGTAGGTGCTGGGAATCAAACCTGGGTCCTCTGCAAGATCAGCCAGTGCTCTTAACCATTGAGCCATCTCTCCAGTCCCAACAACAGCAAATTTCAAAGATATAAAAAGCAGGTACCCTCAAAATTTGTTGACAGTATTGTAAAGTAGTACTCCTGCTTTGAAAAATAGTTTGATCAGTCCCCAAGAAGTCAACTATAGAGACACCGTATTATTACCCAGAACAAAAACATCTGACAGAACTGAAAAATTATGTTCACACAAAGTCTTGAATGCTCACAATAGCTGAGTGGAAACAACTTCACATCCATCAACTGATTAATGGATTGAGTCCATAAAATGAAATATTAGTCAGTCACAGAAAAGAAAAGACACCTTGGTATGTGCTAGCACACGGATGAACCTTGAAAACATGATTCTGAGTGAAGGAAGCCAGGCACGAAATAACACACACTGTACAGATTCCTTTGCATATTGTCAGTCACTTTTGAATCTCTACAGTAAAATACCTCTTATAAACTTTTTTTAGGCCAGGTGTGGTGGTGCACGCCTTTAATCCCAGCACCTGGGAGGCAGAGGCAAGTGGATCTTTGTGAGTTTGAGGCCAGCCTGATCTACATAGTGAGTTCTAGGACAGCTGGGGCTACAGGGAGACCCTGTCTAAAAAAAAAAAAAAAAAAAAAAAAAAGGAACTTTTTTTAGACAGATTCTTATGATGCAGCCCTGACTGGCGTGAATATAAACAACTTTAAATTTTTGTTGTTGTTGTTTTAATTTATGTGTATGTGCATGTGAACGCAGTGCCTGCAGAGGCCAGAAGAGGGTGAAAGATCTCATGGAGCTGGAATTACAGGTGGTTGTGAGCTACCTAACATAGGTGCTGGGAACCAAACTGGGATCCTCTGGAAGAGCAGTAAATCCTTTTAAGCCATCTATTTCTCCAGCTCCATAAATAGCCTAAGAGAAGAAGGAGTTATTTTGGCTAATAGTTTTGAAGAAGGAGTTATTTTGGCTAATAGTTTTGAAGGGTAAAAACTCCATGGTTGTTTGGACTCACTCATTTGGGCATATATACTCAACACAGACATACACAGAAAGAAATAAATTATTTTTTGTGTGTCTTTTTGAGACAGGGTCTCCCTGTAGCCCCAGCTGTCCTGGAACTCACTATGTAGACCAGGCTGGCCTTGAACTCACAGAGATCTGCCTGCCTCTGTCTCCCGAGTGCTGGGATTAATGGTGTGTGCCACCACGCCCAGCTAAAAAGAAAAAAATATTTTTTTTAAAAAGAAATAATCTGCTGCGAAGTTTTCTTAAACTTTTCTTTGACACAGGGTCTTGCTGTGTAGCTCAGACTGGCCTCAAACTTTCAATCCCTCTGTCTCAAAAAAAAAAAAGCTGTAGCACCAGCTAGCCTGGAACTTGCTGTGTAGACCAGGCTAGCCTCAATGTCACAGAGGACACCCCCCCCACGCCTCTGCCTCCAGAGTGCTGCCTGGCCTCCGTGTAACTCTTTTAAGGGTATAACCTAGAAGTTGAACATATCATTTCTACTTGTATAGTTTGGGCTAGAATTCAGTCAAAGGACCACACTGAACTGCCAAGTCATTTGGGAAAAGTAGTTTTTACTCTGGGTGGCAATGTAGTCAGTAAAACTTCAATCACTAGAAGAGGGGAGGAATAAAAATTCAGAGAAAAATACAGTGCCTGTTAACTGGAATCTCTGATGCTATTTTCCAAAGACTGTTAGCTCAAAGTAGTGCTTGGTGGGGTTTGAGGCTGAGGATGTGACTCAGTTGGTAGAGTGCTTGCCTAGCATGCAGAAGGTACTGAGTTCAATCCCAGCACTACATAAAGCTGGGCATGGTGGTTTACACCTTTAATCCCAGTACTCCAGAAGTGGAGGCAGGAAGATGAAGCATTCAAAGTCATCCTGGGCTACAGAGTGAGTTCAAGGCCAGCCTGAGCTACATGAGGCCTTGTCTCAAAAGAAAAAAAAAAAAAAGAACCAGGTGTAATGGCGCATGCCTTTAGTCCCAGCACTCAGGAAGGCAGAGGCAGGTGGATCTCAGGCCAGCCTGGTCTATATAGTGAGTTCCAGGCCAGCTAGGGCTACAGGGAGACACTGTCTCAAAACAACAAACAAAAAAGGAACGTGGAATATGCAGCCAAGAGGGGTGGTGCTTGTAAGAGTTATACTGTGTCAATTTGACACACTTTCTTTCCTGAGATGGGAGTTGGGAAACGGCCACAGAGGGTTGGTTATCTTCAGGAAGAACCTATTCTCCCACAGCATCCCAAGTCCCCTCAAAGAAAAAGGTTTTTGCCCCCAGAAGCTCTAAAAGCCAAAAATCCTGGTTCAGCCCCTCTGCCAGTCACTGCAGTGGGGGAAGCGCTGTGCAAGACCCGGTCACCTCTGATTCTAAACTGGAGAATATGTTATCTGCACTTGAATAAACAAACAGTCATCCCAGCTACTCTTCCCATGGTTCTTTTCTTCCTGCAGCTGGAAACTTGGAATAAGGAGGGAGTCACATCGTTTAGATGATGTAAGAATCCTTAAGAACTGTGATAGGAGGTTGGGCATGGTGGCACACACTTTTAATCCCAGCACTCGGGAGACAGAGGCAGGCGGATCTCTGTGAGTTCAAGGCCAGCCTGGTCTACATAGTGAGTTTTAGTTGGGGCTGCAGGAAGACCCTATCTCAATAAGACCAAAAAAAAAAAAAGTGTGATGTCCCCAGCCCCAACCAAATTCTGGATCTCTGCATACAGCAGGTACCTAATCTATGTTTACTGTTTCCAGAGACTGTTCTGGACGTTCCCAACTTCACAGATCCTGACCAGATCAAGAGTGAAGACGGGAGGGGGGGGGGGGAAGGGGGTCCCATATGCTGGCCTGGTGCATCTTTAAAATATTATTATTTATTTATTTACTTAACATTTATGCAGCGTGGGTGTGGAGGTCAGAGGGCAACATGCGGAAGTCAATTCGCTATTTCCGCTATGTGAGTCCTGGGAATCGAACTCAGGTTGTGAGGCTTGGCAGCAAGCCTCTTTACCTGCTGCGTGATGTATGTGTAGAGGGCGGAATCTTCAGGAGGTGGGAGGAACCTTGAAGACCCGGTCCCGGTGTAGGCTGGTTGGAGGGCAGGGCTCCAGAGCCCAGGATTTTGGATCAAACCATCTTCTGCTTGTTCAAAGGGAGAAGCGAAAAACTCCTTCTGCATCTTTCTCCAGCCTTTCTACTCTTCCCCAGACGCAGAGACAATGATTGGCGTCTCCAATAGACAGTTTTGGCTTCGCCTCTTCATACCTCTCCTGAGCCCCACGGCTGGGCCCCCCCCACACTCACCGCGCGGTGGCTCGCCCCACTTTGACGCATTGCAGGGAAGGTCGGACCAATCAAAGTCGCGCTCTCATTTCCGCCATGAGGCTCGACCAATAGCCGTGCGGCTTACAGAGGAACACGTCGCGCACTGCCGATTGTGCCCCTCCGCCAGAGAGGAAAACGGCGTGGCTACAAGGGGCGGAGCGCGCAGACAGGAAGTAGTCCCCGCGGCGGGGAGCGCGTGTGCGCGTGCCCGCTAAGCACATTCCCTGCGCTCGGTAGAAGCAGCGAACTCCGCGTCCCTGGCGCGGAGGAATCCGCAGGAAGCCGCAGTGCGGCGAGGACGCGCGAGCCGGGCGGGGCGGAGCCCGGGCGAGGCGGGGCGCGCGCGGCGGCCGTTGAGGGACCGTTGGGGCGGGCGGCGGCGGCGGCGACGCGCGCTGCGGGCTAAGAGTGTGGAGGCGCGGACGCGCGGCAGAGCTCGAGCTGCTGCAGCTGCTGCCGCCGCCAGAGGAACCTCGATCCCCGCGCTCCGGACACCCAGTGCCTCGCCATGGTGAGTGAGGCAGCCCGGCGGGCCGGGGTCGGAAGGAGATGAAGCGGACGCGGCTGGGCGGGGACCCACCTCTCTTCAGGACAGCGAGCGAGCCCCGGGTTGGAGGGGGGAGGCCGGGCCCCTTGGGGAGAGGGTTCCCCAAGTGAGCCTTGAGACTTCCAGAAGCGACTTTAGCACCTAGTGAGGTTGATGGGCTCCCCCAAATCTGCGGCAGCAGGTGGGGAGCATCGAGACCCCCTCCCATAAAAAAGAGGCATCACGGGGTGCTTGGTCTCCGAAGTGAGATGTTTAGACACCCTCACCCCCTTCCCAGTTGGAGGAAATGGGAAACGTTGGTCAGGGGTCCTGTTTGCATCCTGATGAAGGCTTTAGGTCCTGGGAGGATGCTGGAGGCTGCTCCTGGAGGGATGGCCGTGGGTAGGTGGGCCCGAGTGGGAGAGGGGGCCGATCGTCTCCTGGGGAGTCTGCAGGAGAGAGGATCAAAGATGAGCATCCGGGGTCACTTCTGCACCCAAGACCCCGGTCGGGGAAGGGGTCTCCAAGGACAAGCATTGCAGAGAAGAGTCAGGTGCGAGCTGAGGTGACGAGCCTTGGGGGTGGGTGGCAGCAGAGGCTAAAGATGCTCTTGGAGTCTGCAGGGACTGGGAGAGGGACTGAGGGGGATCGGGGTCATGGAGGTGTTTTGAAGGGATGGGGATGCGATCATCGGTAGTGCAGGGAACCAGGGAGCCCTGTGCAGGATTTGAGAGTAGCTAGAAAAGATACTGAGGCTACTAATGGGTTAAGGCTGTTGAACTAGGAAGAGAGACTGAGGGGAGGGCTGGTGAGGAATGTTTTGTTTGGGTCAGTGAAAAACTGGGTTTCCAAGGTGAGGGGTGGAGGGGAGGACTTGGTTTAGGTGGTGGGAAGTGAGATTGGACAGGGATCTGGGGCGGTCGGGGGGGGGGCGGTGGTGGAGGAAAAAATGAATGGCAGCCAGCTGAAGTGGGCCTAGGTTTGGAGGTGGGTGTGGGTAGCTCCCATCAGTCTCCTAGGGAAAGGCTGGGACACAAAGGCTGTTAAGTCTGGGTGGAGAGTGGGCTACTGCAGAGGCCCCAAGGGAGTGACTATGGGGTACCCCTTGCCTGGGAAGAATGGGGCTGGCCAGGCTGCAGGCACCATGCAATGGGAGCAGGTGGGCGGAGTTGTTCAGGCCCCTCTTGGGCACTGAAGCCTCATGAAATAGGAGTGGGGTCAAAGTTTGGGGTGCATTAAATGAGCCAGCTTGCTTAAGCCGGGAAGCCTCGCCCCCTCACTGTCCCTTCCAGGCCAGGAGAGCTGCCTTTCTCCTGATCTCCAGCTCCACGCACCTTCTGCTCCTCCTCCCTGTGCCAAATGACAGTGCAATACAGTACAGTTTGGCGTCCATGACAATCGGAGCCCGTTCCCATCCCTTCAGGTGGGGGCTGCAGAGCTTGCCAGAGGAGACTTCAGTGTACCCTGTTATAGGCCCGAGGACCACTTGTGCTTCCCACAGCTAGGGCTTTTGAGAGCAAAGCAGCTGACTACTTCCCTGCCACCCACAACACCCTCAGTTCCCCCAGGCTCAGCCTGGGAACCGTGTGCACCACCCTCCCTGGCAAGGCTGGGGAGGACAGGCAGCCGCCACCATGTATCAGATCTCATCCTGCTGACACAGACCTGAGGGCTCCTCTTGCCACAACCCCATTTTCCCCCAGCAGAACCTTGCTAAGGGGGCCCTACAACAGGGCAGGTGCCAGCAGCCCCCGCCCCCCCCCCACATTCAAAAGAGGGTCCCAGCTTTGGCCCTGACCAGTTTTTCTTTCCAGTTAGAATCAGTAAAGTGTGGGAGGGACAAGTCCCTGGTAACTGGCCCTGGACTTTGGCCTGAGCTCTGTGGCTCCTCCTTGGCTTGGATGAGGGGCCCTGGCCTCCATTTCTGATCTCATCTAACTGCTTTCTGGCTCCCGCTGGGGGCTGGGGAGAGGCAGAGAAATAATCCCCTCTTCTCTCCCAACCCCAAGCCGCTTTTTCTTGCCCAGCCCCTCTCTGGAGCCTGAGATGAGGGCTTGGGAAGCAGCAGACAAGCTGGGTCATTCTGGGGCAAAAGCTAACAATCAGCTAGGAAGGGCCACCAGCAGTGGTCAGCATTGCTTCTCAGACACTCAGTTTTCCAGACAAGCAGCCTTGCATTGGGATCTGCATCCCAGCATGGGGCCTTTCCTTGATGGAGCAGGGGAGAGGGCTCCTGGGTGTCAGGGAGAGGCTGACAGGCCCTCCATGCAGAGCCACGCCTATTTGCAGCAACCGTGACAGAACCTCCTCTGCAGCTTCCAGCTCTTTGGGGAGGAAAGGCAGACACTGGCCTACAGAGCCACTCTTGGCTGTTCTGCAACCTGTCGCAGCCTCTTTGCCCCCAGCCCCTTTTAATGCCACCAAAGGAGAAGAGAGCAAGGCTTCTTGTAGACAGGCACTGTGCGGTGGGCAGGGCCCCGAGTGGGTTTGCTTTGCCCAGGCTAGAGAATGAAAAGCAGATGAACTGGCAGCCCTCCTCCCTGAGGCTTCTCTGCTTCCTCTTCCCCTCCCCCAGCACCAGCTAGCCTTAGTAACCAGAAGCCCATCCTCGGCTCACTTTCCCAGAGCAGCTCCTCAGGTGTCAGGAACGAGGGGTGGGCCAGGGTGCCTTTGCCCTGCTGCTCAGATTGGCAGATGGAATGAGGGCTCGGCCTGGGCCACTGGGCTGGCATTGAGGAGCCCAGCACTCTGACTTGCTTTTGATAGTGATGCATAAGTGTATCCATTTGGCCTTCCTTTAGACTTTTCCAGAATGTACATATGTGGTATTTGGCCATCTCTGCACATGCACCTCTGTCTCCATCATTTTGATTCCCCTCCCATACTGCCTATTTGGGGTTTGATCCTCAAGTTCCTCTTCCTCTAGATTAGATACACATCATATATATGAATATGTTCATGTGTGCTTTTGTTGTTTTTAAGACCAGAACAGGGTTGGGGCAGGCAGTGGCTTGTACCCTCTGCTGGAGGCTCTAGACCCTAAGTAGAAGGATGCACCGTCCACAGTAGTTGACTTCCGTTTCTAGGGCTTGCAAACTCAAGGCCAGAATCCTGCTGTGGACCTGGCGTTCCCTCCCCTCATGGGAAAAGGGAAGAGAATGTCATCTGGACCCACAGTGGTCCAGGGATGGTGGGAACTTCTTAGCAGAATTCATGAAAATCAAAGGAAACTGGCCTAATAGTTTAAAGCTAGAAGTTGATCCAGCCCCCTTTTCACTCTTTCCTCTAGGACCTCCATACCCCGAGATCTCCCGGGCTCCAGTGTAGGAAGAGCTGGGCCTTGCAGCTTCTCCACACAACCCTGCATGCAGCCAGGCCTGCCTGCCACTGCTGACCAGTCCTCAAGTGGCTTGGGCTAGATAGGGTTAAAAACTGCAGCGCTGAAATTGCAAGGCTGAAGGCCAAGCCATCTTCAGTCCTTTGCTACCATGCTGCCTGCCACAGCCCCTCTTGCCCAAAAGAAAGAACCAAATGGTACCCTGTGCCTTCCCTGTTTGTGAGGAGAGTGTCGTCCCAGGTCCGACCAGGGTTCTTTCAGGCACTGGAGCCACTTGGGGCCACCTTGCCTGGGCCTAGCACCTTCAAATAGGTGACACAGAAACTAGCAAAGAGCCCCAGACAGCTTCCCTCTGCCTTACCCAAGGACTGGCCTGTTTTGCTTTGGAGCCTTCTAGAGCTGCTCGATAAGGCCTCTAGGGCAGCTGCTCTTGCCTCGACCTCTGGGGCTCCTGCAGTGGTGCACTGGGTCCAGACTAGGCCGCGGCCTTGGCCCAGGCAGGCCTGGGGTCCTAGCCTAGCTCGCTCTTGCAGCTTGCTTATGAGTCCCACTTATCCCAGGCCCTGACTCAGGCACACACTCCCCTTGCCCAGCAGGAATGCCATGTGGAACTGACCTCAGCATAGGGGGCTAGGCAGGGTGAGGAGGCCACATCCAGGGCAGGTGGGTGGCCTAGTGACTAACTGTCCTTCTTGCTTTTCCAGGCTGACCAGCTGACTGAAGAACAGATTGCAGGTGAGCTTGCCACCTTGTCACCCTGCTCCCATCGTCACGCTTCTGTGTCCCCAGTCAGATCTTACCTAGAGCCCACATCTAATGAATGTGTGTATCTACATCACCTCATGCCAGGCCTGTGACTCAGAATGTCAGTGCCTGTGCAGAAGAGCTCCGAGGGGCACCATCACACCCGCCCCACTCTCCTCACTCAGACTTTGGCCAGGTGATCAGTGCCATCTTGTGTGCTTCCTCTGGCCACAACTCACGTAGGGCCTTGAAATAAGCCCCTGGAGGCCAAGCCAGCTGTCCCTTCCAGCTCCAGCCAGCTTAGCTGTGGAGTGTGCCCCCCACCTCCCCTCCTGGATGCTTGCCTCCCTCCTGTCCCACTTTAGGATGACTCCAAACTCCCACCTCTGCTTGCTAGCTGACTGGCTGGCTTTTCCCTCCACCGGAAATGCTCTCTCAGCCCTGTCCCTGGGCAGCTCCCTGTTCTTTTCCAGAACTCAGCCTCCCTGACAGCCCTCAGGCAGGCAATCCCTTTGCTCTCCACCACTGGCTCTGCCTGTCCTGTGGGCCATCGCTAGCTGAATTCTGTTGCCTGTCACTAGAGCATAGCTCAGAGTGTGGGATGTGTGGTTTGTTGGTTGCTGCCATATCCTCAGTACCTGGAGCATGGTAGGCAGCCCATACATTGTTTCTGCCTAAATGATAAGTAAGCTCTCATGCACTACCCATTAGCTACAAGAAGCCCCTAGGTCCCATGGGATTTATTTTTGTAGCTCTACCACCCAAACCCAGCTGTAGGAACCATCCTGTGACAGACTATGTTTCCAAGTTTTTGGCCCTCCCTAGCCTGTACTGCCAGAAAGCCAAAGGCCAACTCTTGGTTTATCTCCTAACCATGGACTGCCACAGAGCAGACCAGAGGCAGGAGTCAGAGAAAGGGTCCCTGACCCCAGCTTTGCTGGCTCTATAACCAGGACTGAGGTCTAGCCTCTGGGTGAGGGACGGTAGAAATGGACTTGCTTTCCTGCATTCTGCTGTCCCTCAACAGTCATACTTTGGCCCCAGGCAGGTGGAGACCCACCAGGGAAAGCCAAAAGATTGCCCTTGTTTACTGGTCATGAGCTCAGGAGCCACGTGACCCACTCCCCGCTCCCACCCCTTGTGCCTCCCCAGGAGCCAGATCTCAGTACAGGGAGATGACAGCATCCCCAAGGAGACTTGGACCATTTCCCCAGGGCCCAGAAGTTCAGGTCACAGTTGGCCAGCGGTGTATGTCCCTGCCACCCCCACCCTGGGCCTCCTGTAAAGACAAACACACTCTCCAGTTTTTATCCCCATTAGCACACTGTCCACCATCTCCCCCCGGCCCACACCCTCTGGGAACAGGCTGCCAGGCATCTGTTCTCAGAGAGTTTGGGGGTGGGGAGCTCTGGGTGCCAAAGTGGGCCCAGTGGGAGAGCAGGAGCCACGTGCTTCTCTCCCCGTTCCTGATGCAGCCCCAGCTGTGGCCTTCCCACTCGGCACCACACTCCTCATCCTCCTGGTTTGGCAGATGTCCCCTTGCCTTCCATCCCCCAACCCCACACACTGTCCGTCAGCCTAGCTCTGCCACCGACCACCCCACACATCACCACCCCCTCAGGCTCAGCTCCTCTGGAAGGCAGTGGCACCCGCAGCTGGGGACTGAGCTGGCAGTGCCCAACAGAAGGAATTTGGTGCCACGTTTCCTTTTGAGACTGGCCGGAGGCATTCCGAAGTGTCCCCTTCCCCTCCCTCCAGCTGACCTTGGCTATTGAACTTCAGATGAAGAATTCTCTTGGATCTTATCCATTCTCTCACTTTGGTCCATTGCATCATTCAAGAGAGAGGACAAAACCAGGGACCAAGAAGAAATAGAGAATTAGCAGAATGAGACAGCTGTCGGCTCATTTCACTCAGCTAGATGGGCTAAGGAGATGCTTCACCCACTGGAGCAGAGTGAAAGAAGGCAGGGTGCTACCTTGAGGAAAGGGTGGCCTTGCCCCGAGGCCTGGCCCCAGAGCCCTCCAGGGAGAAAGTCCTGTGCCTGGACATCAGGTGGCTCTGACACCTCTTGACTCCTGGCTTGTTCCTTTCCTTCCCCAGAGTTCAAGGAAGCCTTCTCCCTCTTTGACAAGGATGGAGATGGCACCATTACCACCAAGGAGTTGGGAACCGTAATGAGGTCGCTGGGGCAGAACCCCACTGAGGCTGAACTTCAGGACATGATCAATGAGGTGGATGCTGATGGTGAGCTCCTGAGAGCGAGGGCCACCCACCCTGCTCTCCCTTTATCCCCAGGGGGCTCCGGAGTCACATCTGCTTCCCTTTGTTCTCCAGGGAATGGGACCATTGACTTCCCAGAGTTCCTCACTATGATGGCCAGAAAGATGAAGGATACAGACAGTGAGGAGGAGATCCGAGAGGCTTTCCGTGTCTTCGACAAGGTAAGCAGTCCCAATGGGGCCCTGTGACGGACAGCAGGAAGCTCCTCCTGGAAGCTGCAGCCCTAGGCAGCTCACCCACAGGCCGCCTTCCCCTTGCTTACTGTTCAGTATGGCAGGTGACACTTCCTGCTCCTTGTAGCTCTCCACCACAGGAAGTTGAGTGACAAGCCTTTGTCCCCAACCCCCAGGATGGGAATGGCTATATTAGTGCCGCTGAGCTGCGTCACGTCATGACGAACCTGGGGGAGAAGCTTACCGATGAGGAAGTGGATGAGATGATCCGAGAGGCTGACATCGATGGAGACGGCCAGGTCAATTATGAAGGTGAGTCATGGTGGCTGGGCCCTCTGCGCCTGATGCCTGTGGGGCATCAGGGACTCACCCTGCTGGTGGACTCAACTCCTCCATTTCTCTCGACAGAGTTTGTACAGATGATGACTGCGAAGTGAACGCCTGGGCAGCTGGCGATGCCCATTCTCCTGATCTCTTCTCGCGCTCTCCTCTCTTCAACACTCCCCTGCGTTCCCCGGTTCTAGCAAACACCAATTGATTGACTGAGAATCTGATAAAGCAACAAAAGATTTGTCCCAAGCTGCATGACTGCTCTTTCTCCTTCCTGACTCTCCGTCCATGCCCCTCATCGCTTCCTTTGGCCTCCCCATTTCCATTGCCACCTTCCAGGCCTGATGCATTCATAAGGTGAACTCCATTCCCCTGGAGGAACCTCTTACCCCTCCAGCCTGGGTCGCTCTCTTCATTTCGGTTTGTTTCCTTTTGCTTGTCCTTTGGGTGCTGGGGTGGCTGTCGGCCTTCTCCTGGCCCTACAGGGAGCGGAGTGAGGCCCTCACCAGGCAGAGGCGCATGCCCTCCGCCACTGTTGCATGCACCCAGCCCTGTGATTCCATGTGCAAACCCAGCAGCCTATGGGGCGGGGTGCCAGGAGGGGGCGTTCCAGGACTAAGGAGCTCGAAGTGTGGCAGTGACTGGATGTGGCCCAGGGGAGCAAGGAGCAGGAAGGCTTGGAAGCTGACATGCTTTCACTCCTGGAGGGGACAGACAGAGTGGGCGGCACAGCACTTGGGTCTCGCTGATGCTGGTCTGGAACCATCTGGCTGGCTTTCTGAGGTCAGGCTGGGCAGGGGCTGTCATTGGCTATGCTGCCAATCACACTTGCCCTCCAGTGATCTCCTGCTGTTCTGTAAATACCTGGTGCTAACATCCCATGCCGCTTCCCCCATGGCGCCCTGGCCACCCGCCCCGCCCAGGGCCCCGTCTAGGAATGGATGTGGGGATGGTCGCTCTGTAATGTGCTGGTGATCCTTGATTTTTTTTTTTCCCTTTTCTGCCCCTTCAAAGTTTCATTTAGTCCCACACATGCCGGGCCAGCTGAAGGGTGGGGAGAGCCCTCCCAAGCTCACGAGAACCAACCTGCAATAAACACTTCTGTGGGCCGCCACACAGAGCAGCAGGCACCTCCCACCTGTCCATGGTGACTTGGCACCGCTTCCTCCGCTTGTGCCGCCTCTGCCCTCCCTGCCTGCCCCACTCCCCAGCGGAGAGCATGATCCGCGCCCTTGCTTCTGACTTGCCTCTGGGACATGTCAGTCAACGTGGGCAGTTCAGTCTGGGTTCGCTTCCTTTCTTCTCATCTGGCCCCCCAGGTCGATGAAGTGGCTTTTCCTGGGACCTGCCCAGCTTTGAGACTCTTCTCCTCCAGCCCCTGGCAGCAGCCTGGAGGGAGGGAGGGACAGGGCATAGCAGGAGACCCAGCTGAGGGCAAGGGCAGGTAGGCGTGAGGCTGTGTGGACAGACGTTGCAGAATGTTTTGGTTTTTTTGTTTTTGTTTTTTTTAAACCGGGCAATATTGTGTTCAGTTCAAGCTGTGAAGAAGACTATATATCAATGTTTTCCAATAAAATACAGTGACTACCTGACTGGGCTCTTCTTGTCCTCGGGGTCCTCGGCCTGTCTACAGATCACTGAGGGCAGGGGATGCCCTGTGGATAGTGGGCTCTGGGGCTGTGTGTATAGAAGGTGCATCACTCCAGAATAGAGGATTCAGGGCAGCAGGCTGGCAAGACTGCCCAGACTGAGCCAAGACTAAAAGACCAGTGGGTATCTGACCTAAGGGGAAGGAAGAGCCTTGGAGCCAGGGGGAACAGTGGGTGTGGACAGCCCTGTGACAGGAGAGCAGGACATGAGGGGCCAAAAAACTGGCTGGGTAAGAGCAGAGAATGATGCTCTGCACATGTGGATCCTGACGGCGGCCTCCCAATGGTATGTCACTGCCCAGCAGGTATAGCAGGAGATTGGGGTTGGTTGCAGACTTGAAGCAAAAAGCCCAGCAGCAGCAGAAATAGACCCTGCTTCAGAACAACTGCCAAAAAGTTGGCCCCAATCACATGCATGCCATAACATGGTCATTCAAGCCTACACAAGGTATACAGAGATAGGCCACTTAGAGGGGCAGTGACTTTTTTCCTGGGCCTCAGTTTACCAGTCTGCAAAATGGAACATAATAATCTGTGGGTTGTGCCACCATGTGCTTTGATTCCCATGCAGGCCGGTGGACCCCCACCTTACTTGTGATGGGCACACTAGCTCAGGCATCTGAGCCAAAGGTAGGGGATGGTGACCCAGGCATGTTTCTCGGAAGTGGAGCAGACTGACACCCACCCTTTTTCCTGTCGCTGGCTGGGATCTCAGATGCCAGGCATTTAACCACAGTATCCCCAAACTGTGGGTCTTGATCCTTCTCTCATTGCCCCCCTTGGGCCCTGTTTGGGAAGACTTTTACTCCCAGACAGACCACATTATCAAATAACCATTACACTTTCCCTTTCTAGTCAATGAATCAGTCATGCATAGCACTCAGCTTCTAATGACTATGGGTGAGCCACCGAGGCCAGAGACTGCACCCAAGGCCAAGGAGCACTCATGGGCGCGTTGTGTCAAGACCAGATCCACAAATATGCTAGGCCAGCCAGAGTCTGGCCTGAGAAAGTGGCTCATGGAACCCCTGCAGGGTCCCAGTAAGACCCAGGCTTCCCTCTTCCCAGAGTGGAAGGAGTAAAGTTCTGGGGTCACTTATGTCATTCCCAGTGTGACCAGCAGGTGGCGCCAAGAGGACAGACGCCCTTATACCCTGTGTTACGGTGTGTTTTTTAAGACAGTTTATTATAACTTATTTTTCATTGTTTTGAGAGGGTCTCCATATAGCTGTAGCTGGCCTGGAACTCCCTGTGTAGACCAGGCTGGCCTCTTGCACCATCACACCTGGTTAGTCTAACTTATTTAGCAATCTAGGAAGTTCATAACCATCAGCAGTTTACAGTGCAATGTCAGGTGAATTACTCCTGCCCTGCAGGGTCACAGCCGATTTCTGAAGCCTGTTGTGTTTTGTGTTTTGTGTTTAGCTTTGTTTTTCTGTGCTGAGGGTGGAACCCAGGGCCTTGTGCATGCTAAGCAAGCACTTTCCTACCACGCCACGTACCCAGACCTTCCCTGGTGAATGCTATGAAGCTCTCTATCACTAAGCTACACTCAAGTTTTTGGCTTTGTATTGTTTTGTGTTTTCTTTGGGTTTGGTTTGGCTTAGACAAATTTCATGTAATACAGGCTGGCCTGGAACTCACTTTGTAGACCAGGCTGGCCTGGATCTCAGCGATCTTCCTGCCTCTGCCTCCCAAGTCCTGGAATTACAGCTGTGCACCACCATACCCAGCTTTATGCAGTGCTAAGGAGCCAATCAAGGGCTTTGTGCATACTAGTCCAACATTTTACCAATTGAGCCATATCCCCAATCTAACTTTTTTATTTATTTTTATTTTTTGTGCATAAATATTTTGCCTTGCTTGTATGTTAAGCACACCACATGCATGCAGTACCCGTGGAGACCAGAAGAGGGCATGCATCATATCCCCTGGAAGTAGAGTTGAACAGGGTTGTTAGCTGCCATCTGGGTTCTGAGAACAACCTGGGTCCTCTGCAAGAGCAGCTAGCGCTCTTCACCGAGCTATCTCTCCAGCCCAATACCTTCAAGTATTTTTTGTTGTTGTTGGTTGTTTGATTTTGTTATTTGGTCTTTTTCAAAAAATATTTGTTTGGTTTTTTTTTGTTTTTGTTTTTTTTTGTCTTTTTGAAGCAGGGTCTCCCTGTAGCCCTAGCTGTCCTAGAACTCACTATGTAGACCAGGCTAGCCTCGAACTCACAGAGATCCGCCTGCCTTTGCCTTCCAAGTGCTGGGACTACAGGCGTGCGCCACCATGCTCGGCTTATTTGTATTTTATGTGTATGAGTGTATTGCCTGCATGTATATGTGCACCCATGTTGTGCAATGCCCATAGGGGTCAGAAGAGGGCATAGGATCCCCCGGAACTGGAGTTACAGACAGTTGTTAGCCACCATGTGGGTGCTAGCAAACCCAGGTCCTCCACAAGAGCAGCCAGGACTCTTAAACATTGAGACATCTCACCAGCCCCAGAATTGTTAATTTTTGTAAATGAATAAAGTGTCCCTGATGGAGACAACAGATCCTTCTCGACCCCCCACCCCAGGCTGTGGCAGGCATAGCTCATGAGTCCATGTCCACTCTCCCTTGATCCATAGCCAAACTTGTGATTTTGTGTGTGAGCTGCTTCCTGTAACACAGATTGATGTGATTATTCAATTGTCCCACTAGACAGTGAGCAAAGTAGGGCCAAGACTTTGCCAGTGATTGCTCCATTCCCAGCACATGTGGCACAGCCGCCAGCCCACAGCAGGCTCAAGGGAAAAGATGATCAATAATGTGAGCAGCCAGAGAACAAGTGAGGCATCACATGCCAGAGTAGAGTTGGAGCTTAAAGCACAACAGAATACCCCCTGCTACCCACTGGATTTCTTCCAGAACTTACCCGGGTGCAGCTACCACCTCCCTGATGCCCCTCTGCTCTCCCACCCCCAGCCCTACCCATTTTGGCACAGGGCCCTCTTCCTCACTGAACAGTGAGCCTCAGGGCCAGGGCTCTCCCAACATCACAGGGCCGACACACGTCTGCTCTCCCAGGCTGCCATCATAGGACTGAGAGGGCTCAGAATGGGGTCAAGGAGAAGGGGAAATTGGAGTGTGGCCTTTTTTTCCCTTTTTGAAGGTGCTAGGGATTAGAAAGAGGGCCTCACACCTGCGAAGTGCGGGTTCCACCTCTTAGCAAGTACCCCCCACCTCAGGTCCGGGACTCCAGATTGAAGATAACCTAGAATCCATCCAGGAAAGTGCTGTGCCACTGAGCTACATCCCCAGCTCTTGTTTTTATTTTTTTAATTTATTTTTAATATTTTATTTATTATTTTTATTTTATGCGTATGCGCGTATTGCCTGCATGTAGGTAAGTGCACCCGTGTTGTGCAATGCCTGAGGACAGAAGAGGCTGTCAGATCCCCTGGAACTGGAGTTATGGACAGTTGTTAGCTGCTATGTGGGTGCTGGGACTCAAATCCAGGTCTCTGCAAGAGCAACCAGTGTTCTTAACTGCTGAGCTATCTCTCCAGCCCCTTATTTATTTATTTTTGCATTTATTGTGTGCCTGTCAGTCAGTCAAAGGACCATTTGTGGGCATTGGTTTTCTCCTACCACGTGGGTTCTGGGAATTGAAATCTGATCATCAGCCTTGATGGCAAGTGCCTCTGCCTGCTGAACCATCTTGCAGGCCTGTTTTATTTTATTTATTTTTTTCATTTTTTGATACAGGGTCTCATGTAGGCACAACTGGCCTCAAACTCCCTATGTTGCTGACGATGAGCTTGAACTCCTGATCTTTCCGCTTCTGCCTCCCAAGTTCAAGTATTCCTGGTGCATTACCATGACACCCAGTTTTATGCTATATGTGGGAGATTGAACCCAGAGCCTAGTGCATGCTAGGCAAGCACTCTACCAACTGAGCTGCAACCCCTGTCCTCCTTCTACTCTTTGAGACAGGAGCTCCCTAAGTTGCCCAGGCTGGCCTTGAACTCACTCTGTAGCCTAGACAGACTTGAACTTAACAGTCCTCCTGCCTTGATGTGGTGACTCACACCTGTAGTCTCAGCACTCAGGAGGCTGAGGCAGGCTGATTACCATGAGTTCAAGGCCTGCCTGGTCTACACAATGAGTACCAGGACAGCCTTGGCTACAGAATGAGACCCTATTTTTTATAAAACACAAATAAGGGGCTGGAAAGATGACTAAGAACATACTGCTTTTCCAGAGGACCCGTGTCAGATAGCTCACAATTGCCTGTAACTCCAGCTCTAGGGAACCCGATACCCACTTCTGGCTCCTACAGGCATCTGTACTCACATGGCAGATACACATACACAGGAATAAAAATTAAATAAATCCATGAAGGAATGAGCAAATAGAAGTCGATTTTTTGTTTGGTTAGGTTTAGGTTTTTTTGTTTGGGGGATTTGTTTTGTGGTTTTATTTATTTTTGTTATTGTTTGTTTTTGTAAGACAAAGTCTCTCTGTAGCCCCAGCTGGCCTGGAACTCACCATGTAGGTCAGGCTGGCCTCGATCTCACACAGAGTCCCCTGCCTCTGCCTCCCAAGCCGTGGGATTAAAGGCATGTGCCATCACGCCTAGCACGTCTTTGTTTTTCCAAAATTATGAGTATGTATCTTAAACTTTACTTCTTATTACTTATTATTATTATTATTACTGTGTGTATGATGTGTATCTGTGGACACTTGGGCTACGGTCATGCCTGTAGGTCAGAAAGCAGCCTTATGGAGTAGGTTCTCTCCTTCCATTTGAGGCTCTAGTCATTGGGCTTTGGTGGCAAGGCTCTTACACAATGAACCATCTCACTGGTACCGTTTATTTTCTTGAGATCCAGCCTTATGTTGCCCAGGCTGGCCTTGAGGTTGCTAAGCAGTTGAAGATAACCTCCTGATCCTCCTGCTTCAACCTCCAAAGTATTGGGATTATAGGCATGTACCACCACACTCCGATTTTTTTGTTTGTTTTTTTGTTTTGTTTTTAGACAGTGTCTTCCTGTGTAGCCTAGATTGGTCTCAAAATAATTCTCCTGCCTCAGCCTCCCCAGTGCTGAGATCAGAAGACACCTTGCTGATTTTTGATTATGAAGTTCAACTAATGTAACTCCAGCTTGAGGGATTCAGTGCCCTCTTCTGACCTCCACACAGGCAAAGATGTGCACACCCACACCCACATGAGAATACACTCACACAGATTTACACATGCAAAGAGATAAACATCTTTTTAAAAATCATATGAAAGATGGGGTTGCAGAGATGGCCTAGTGTTTAAGAGCACTGGCTGCTCTTACAGAAGACCCAGGTTCAGTTCTCAGCACCCACATGGTGGCTAACAACCAACCAAAACTCCAGTTCCAGAGGATCTAACCCCCTCTTCTGGCCTCTGAGGGCATTGCATAACTTGGGTGTACTTACACACATGCAGGCAAAACACTCATATACATAAAATAAAAATAAATAAATATGGGACTGGTGTTTTTGAGACAGGATCTCCCTGTAGCCCCAGCTGGCCTGGAACTCACTATGTAGACCAGACTGGCCTTGAACTCACATAGATCCGCCTGCCTCTACCTCCAGGGTGCTGGGATTAAAGACACACGCCACCACACCCAGCCAGGATTATATTTTTTTATTGTGATAAGATACCCATAAATAAAAACTGCCATTTAATCATTTTCAATTCACAGACAGTTACAAATTCAATGGCATTTGGTTTATACACCCAGTCAGCAACTGTTACATTCTATCAGCCAGTGCCTGTTCACTAGTCACCGAAGTCTAGTTTGTTTTTAATATTTTAATTTGTTGTTGTTGTTATTTGGTTTTGTTTTGCTTTCGTTTTGTTTTGTTTTTTTGAGACAGGGTCTCCCTCTAGCTCCAGCTGTTCCTGGAACTGCTACATAGACCAGAGTGGCCTCGATCTCACAGAGATCTGCCAGCCTCTGCCTCCTGAGTGCTGGGACTAAAGGCGAGCACCACCATACCCGGCTCTTAGTTTTGTGTTTTGAGACCAGGATGGGTATGGCCTGCTGACTTCCAACTTGCTCTGTAGTAGCTGAGGATGACCTTGAACTCCTGACCCTCCTGCCTCTATCCAGAGTGCTGGAATTAGATGAGCGCCACCACACCCTGCTTATCTTAGCCTGTTTCTACCTCTCCACATACCCCTTGTTCTTCTGAACAGATCTGAAACACACTGACTAGAAAAAAAGGAAAGTCAAAACAGACTCCAAGCTTTGCTGTTTTGAAATTGTGTTTGTCTAGATAATAACAAAGGCAGCACCAACAATAGTGGTAACAACTATTGCAAGCTCTCTTCAGGTTCCATGCTAAGCTGCTGTTTGAGGGGCAGTCATTTCATCCACACAGCAACCCTGTAAGAACTAGATTACAACACAGAGGAAACTGCGGTACAGAGCAGCCACACCAGTCAAGCCAGCAAGCTAGACTTGGAAGCATGTGATAGAGACATGGTCCTTTTGCTTGCTGTGTGACCCAAAGCCGGGGGCGTGCCCCCTTTGGCCATTGGTTCCAATCTCTATAGAAAGGCTCTACTAACAAATGTGCTGCCAAGCAGGTGGAATAAGTGGGCACTTGGCAGAGTGGATGAGAAAGAGGAACCAGGGCTGGTGGGGTGGGGAGCTATCCTGTTCACCCTCCCCCAGCCTTCCAATCCACTCGCTTCCCTTCATACCCGGCAAGTTATTCCCAAGCACCTTGAACTGTTGGCCTCTGGAGGCCAGAGATGGGCCTTAGAAAATTGCAGGGGATGCTGAGTATCACTCACCCCAACAGATCCAGGAAGCACAGAGACTGGTCTGTGTCTGCAACCCCAGGCACACTCAATGCCTGCTATCCGGTTTTAGGGTCCTGGGAGTTTGTTGAATTGAATGAGTGAACTTTTCGTGAAGGTCCTGAAGACAGTGAGTTAAAGTCTGGTAGTTATTTGTTCCAGACTTGGAGGCAGGGGGCAGGGCTGTAGGGGCAGGTTTGGGGCTTGAGTTTGCATTCTTGTGACATCTTTGGGACCTCCCCCACACCACATCCCCATCTCCATCTTTTCTTAGGCACCTCCCCCAAAGTTCACAGGGCACAGACTCCCAACCTATGGCATTTCTCAGGTCATTTCTGTGCCGGACACATCAGTACCGTCACCTATAGTATAATGGCCTTCCTTTCTTCCCACTCTTTTGAGGATTCAGAACCCCCAAGTCAGAGAGGGGATGGGGAAAGAGGGAATGGCAGGAACTTTTCTGCTGAGGTCTAAGTAGGTCCTGCATTGGCTTTTGGAATGGCTTGGGAGAGGCTCTGTGTCCCCTGGGGACCTAGGGTAGGCAGCTAAGGGCCACCTCAATGGATGTGGATGGGGACCAGAACTCTAACCTGAGCAGACGAGTCCACAGAAGCCTCTGAGAACTTTTCTGCTTCCTAAATATTTAGACAGTGAGATGGATGGCAATCTCAGGAGCAGTGCTGCCTGGCCAGCTCCCAATTATTTTGAGAGAACCCTTCTCGAGCTTCACAACACATGTTCGCAGCATCCCTCACCCTCATCCCAGAGTCTGTAAGCCACTACCCTGAAGGAGGAAAAATAGCAGCAGATCACCCCCAGAGTTTGGAGGTTAAATATGTGGCTTCCACCATCATTAGCCAAGTCCCTGATAGCTTCTTGTCCCAGAACACAGGGCCAGAGATCACATGCAGGACCAACTTAGACGTCAGCAGAGGGAGCAGGCGACCATGGCCTCTGCTTTGGATGGTGTTCCCTCAGAGCTGCCGCCACCACCAATCAGAGGCACAGGAGGCAAAGGTGCCACCTGCCCAGTGCCCCAGGGTGACAGAGGCACCCACCTCTCCTCCTTCTCCTGGAGAGCAGGGGGAGCCTGTGGGTCCCTTCTCCCGAAGGCAGGCCGGGAAAGGGGTATCTGTGAGTCACCATGGATGGGTCGGGAACACAGGCAGCAGAGCCAGAACCTGAGGCGGTGGAAGACAGCCTTCCGGAAAAGGATGAAGACCCAGGGGTCCAGAATGGGGTTGAAGGCATTGAAGCGGAAGGCCAGGAGATCCCCCATCTCGCTGCTGTCTGGAGTGATGGCCTGAGTGAAACCTCGGATCTGAGGGACAAGGAAAGTGTCAGATGCATCACTGATCTTTGTCCTCTCCCATCCTTGCACCCTACCTCCCATTTCTCATACACAGTGATGAGGGGTTGTGACAGGTTACAGGGGAAGGAAATGAGATACGATAAAGAACTGTGTGTGTGGAGTTGCTAATACATGTGTGCATCCAGGGAGCAGAGGACCGGAAAACCCCAAGAAACAGCAAGCAGAGGGCAGAGGGAAGATAGGGTCAGGACTGTGGACACTCACCCCACTAGACCTACCCTGGGCAGCTGAGGCAACCCTCAGTCTCCACTGATGCCTGAGCCATCTAGGGCTCCCAAAACTTTACACAGAGCCAGCCTTGTGGATGGATTATCAGTCTCTGAGTCATTGTTAACTATCAAAAGTTGAACCCCTAAAGCCAGCTCAACCCCTATTCTGAGGTGCAGAATAAAGGTATGACGGACTAGCAGATGTCACAGGCATGGGCTGGGCTAGCTGGAGGGGCAGGACAAGGTCACTCTGGGAAACAGGGTGGGCCCCGGGATGGGGGAGTAGGGAGCACTTAGGGTGGGGAAGCAGCCAGGCCCAGCAATGAGAGAGGCAGAGTGCAGATTTGCTTCCGTGATTCTGGGCAACAAGCACTTCTGAAATCAAGAGGTGGAGAGAAGAGACCTTGGTGTCATTTCCTGCCCAGGGCTTCAGAAACAGTTGTATAAGGTCAATTTGAAATTTATTTGAAGAGGCATTTGGAAGCCATTAAGCATCCGGTTGCTGAGAGTAAGCAAGCATTCACGAACCGTGAATTCTGTTTCTGTCACAAAGGTATGTTTGATTTTAAGGAGGGGGTGGGCCTGGGAAGCATTGACAGGGAACATCGAAGGACTGGAGGTCTAGCAAAGCAAAAGCAAGTGGAGAGACTTTGGGTAGTCAGGAGTTGTTGGGCAGTACACAGTGCCACCGTCTGATCCTTTCCGAGTCTCAGTTTCCACGACTATGAAATAGGTGTGACAGAAGGAAGGCAATGCCAGACGCCACCCTCCTCCCCAACCCCAACTCCAAGGGACACTCACTGTGAGAGGCAGGGAGCACACGGCCATGATCCCAGTCATGAGGACCAGCAGAATCAAGTGATCAACCTCATCCTCACGTGCCCGGGAGCTGGGCACCAGTGAGCCCTGGTTTCGCCTCTGCTGGCGGTACATGTGGCAGAGGCTGAGGGTGACAGAGCCGTTGCAGATGATGATGGCTGTCACCAGCAGGGCAACGAGGCTGGCATAGGCCAGGGAGAAGGCGCAGCCGTTTGGCTGGGAGGAGCGCATGCGGATGAAACACCAGCTCCCGGGACAATACTGTTGATGCTCGCCCAGGCCCATCAGGGGCAGAGAGCAGAAGATGCTGCAGAAGGCATAGATGGCAGGCAGGGCCAGGCGAGCGCAACGCGGCCCATCCAGCTGGGCATACAGGTAGGGGTGGCTGAGCGCCAGGCATCGCTCCACAGCCATAGCAAAGAGGATGAGCGTGGAGGCCAGGCCGAAGAATGTCATGGCAAAGGCAAAGGTGTCACACAGTGCTGTGCCACCTCGGGCCAGACCCAGTAGGGAGCTGTTCTGAGCATAGGCCACAAAAACTGCAGGACTCAAGAAGCATGTGCCCAGTAGATCTGTCACTGCCAACCCGGTGACCAGTACCGCAAAGGCTGATGGATGGGACCTCCGACGTGCGCCCAGGATGCCCAGCGCCATCCCGTTGCCCACCACACCGGCCACGAACATCAAGGTGCTGGTGGCAGGTCCTACCGAGTCACGCACATAGGTGAGATTCCGGCAAGAATCTGCCATGCCTCCCCACTCTCCACCACACCCCCGACAAGAGGGCTTCCGGGGTGGCAGAGGGGGAACCCCCCGGGATGTCTCTCCACCGAAGGCCACGGTCCTTGAGGCAGCCGGATCTGCCAATCACCAGTTCCCTGTGTGCCTGTCTGTCTGTCTTTGCTCTGCGTCTTCTCCAGTCTGTCTCTCTCCTGGTTCTTCCCTTCTCTGTCTGTCTGTCCTTCCCAATCCCGGTGTCTCTTCCTTCCTCGTCCCCTACGCCTTTCGTCTCCACGGTATCAGTCCCCTCTGACCAGTCCTGTCTCCTCCTTTGTATTTCTGCTTTCTGGGCTTTCCCACACCTCTGCCTTCTCCGTCTCTTCTGTCACTTGCTCCTTGGGTCTGCTCTGCGTAGGTCTCAGCTTCCCCCTCTTCCTCCCGCCCTCCCTCCTCATCTTGCCTGCTCTCCCCGGCTTTTTCATTTCCTCTCTGCCCCGCCCTCCCTCCCCCTGCATTGGTCTCCCGAGGCCCTCCGGCTCCCTGCCGGCTTTCCCTGGCTTGCACCCCATCCCCTTCTCTGAGCAGCCATCTCCTGCATATGCCTCTCCCCCGCTCCCTTTCTCACTCAGTCCCCAGCACAGAGCCACCTGCCCCGGCCCCACACTTAGGTCTGTGGTTTTCCCTCCCCCAGCATCTTCCTCTCTGGCTCCATGTGCCTATCTAAATCCGCTGTCATGCAGGTTCAGAGCCCACCAGGGTCCAGGGCAGGCAGGCCCTGACAGGAGTGGCCTGGGCTGTCTGTAAGTGGCCTCTGAGAGCTATTCTGGGCTTCATGCCCTGGGGTTAGGGCTTGGCCCCAGGATTGAGAAATGACCGGGAAATTCCTTCATGATGTAGTGTTTTCCAGACACCACAGAGAGCCCTGGTCCCTAGACACAATTCACTCCTTCCAGGAGCTGAGGAAGGAGTGGTCTGCCCAGACCTGGTCGCTGGGCTCCCAGCTCAAGATCCCAGAGCCCAGAGTAGGAATGTACCATCTGTCTGTCGTATCCAGTATACAGGGCTGTGGTGACCCACCATTAAAGACACACCCAGCTGACCTCTGGCTTCTCACTGAGGCATTTCCAGGGCCTAGGCGCTGAAGACCTTGACCTCCAAAAATAACACTTTGGCCACTGATGGGTGGAACCAGAGCTCCAACATGGCTCCCAAACGGTGCCTCGAATTCTCCCAGACACCATCTGCCCAGGCCAGTGTGTCAGGCTGGCTGTCAGCTCAATGATCATGGGACCTCCTGCTAAGTTCACTGTCCCTCAGCTGCCTCACAGCCCATAAGGGCCAGAGGTCCCCACTCTGTGGACTTTTTTGTTTTTGTTGTTGCTCTGTTTTTGTTATTGTTGTTTATGTGTTTGTTTTAGGACAAGGTCTCACTTTGTAGCCCTGGCTGGTCTGGAACTCACTATGTAGACCAGGCTAACCTGGAACCCACAGAGATCCACCTGCCTCTGCCTCCAGGGTGCTGGGACTAAAGGTGTGTGCCACCATGCCTGGCTCTGTTTTGGTTTTGAGACAGGGTCTCATGTAGCCCAGGCTTGCATTGAATTTTCTATGTGACCAAGGATGACCTTAAACTCTTACAATCTTTTAAAAATTATTTTATTTATTATTTGTGTGTGTGCACATGTCTATGCAAACATGCCACAGACCATATGTAGAGGCTGGAGGACAACTTGCAAGTCATTTCTCTCCTTCTACCATGTGGATCCGAGGAATCGAACTCAGGTTGTCCACTGGGCAAGAAGTATGTTTACCTGCTGAACTATTTCCGCCACGTAATTTTGATCTCTTGATCTACCTGTCTCTACCTCCTAAGTGCTAGGATTATAGGAATGTGCCTTCCTGCCCAATTTATGCTGTAGGTGATTGTTAGCTGCCATGTGGGTGCTGGGAACTGAACCCAGGTCTTCTGGAAGAGCAGCCAGTGCTCTGAACCACTAAGCCATCTCTCTAGCCCCCTATTTTTTTTTTAAATGTTTTATTATCTGTGTGTGTGTGCATGAGTGTGTGTGTGTGCGTGCATGTGTGCATGTGTGTGTATATCTGTATGCCACAAGAGTGCAGGTGCCGTCGGAGGTCAGCATACGGTGTTGGATCCCCTGGAATTGAAGTAACAGGCATTGTTAGCCACCCAACATAGTGCTGGGTGCTGGGAACTGAACTCAGGTCCAGCAGCAAGCCCTCTTAGTTGCTGTGTCATCTCTCCACCCTCTCATCCCTTGTGATTTTTAGCTAAGGATAGTCTTGAACTTCTGATTCTCTTACCTGTACCTCCTGAGTGAGTACTGGAATTACAGGCCTATACTATCACACCCAGCTTTTGTTTCTTTGTGAGAGACAAAGTCTTAATTTGTAGCCCAGGCTGGCCTCAAACTCTCAGCAATTATCCTGCCTCCGCCTCCCAAGTGTTGCATTCTAGTGTGTTTAACTACACCTGACTCTAACACCCCTTGCTTTTCAGGAAGACTGAGCGTAAAGGATGCAAACTCAGGACCTCACATCCATTTGACTTATGTTTCTGTCCCAATGTGACCACCTTCCTGCTGCATGACAGTCCCCAGCAGGGATGGAAAGCTGCTATTCCACAGCCTCCTCTACTTAATGGGCCTCACCGACCTCCCAGCAGCCCACCCACCCCAGGCCTGCCTTGTAAGAGGGAAGGAGCCTATGCAGATGCATCATGTTCAAGGCCAGAAGGGCTGCTCCTCTCCAGGCTGGACTGTGGGCAGCTACCACTGCCTTGCCCTCTCCCTCTCCATCCCCACCCCTATGACCACATCTTCCTATCATCCATGCCCAGCTGCCACCCAGATGGCATCCCTAATTTCCGACAGGATAGATGCCCTAGTTCCAGTCACTCTGGGGATTCCCCAAGAGACCACCTGGCCCTGCTCTGGGGATGGGGTGCCTGTGAGTGTGCAGGTCCCAGGCCTGTGGCCATGCGGCCCTCCTCATGTCCTGCCATTCCCAGGCAGAACAGAGGGAACTCAGGAAGTTATATCATATTAATGAAGGATGACGCCTGGCAGCCTTTATGTCCTGTCTCAGTATCCGGGGAGTAGCAGGGGGAGGTGGGGCACTCTGCTTCCCGGAGCTTTCTCCTGCTGGTTTCCTGTCCTGGTCTTGATCACTTAGCATTCGGGAAGTCCCCTCAGCTCCTGTGCCCCAGGAGACCCGAGACAAGTCCCTGTTCCTTTCTAGGTCTCTGGGAGCTGCAGCTTTTGCTCTGCTCCTGCACTAGAAGCCAATAGTGCAGGATGTGGTGGCACACACCTCCAAGCCCAGCACTCGGGAGGTAGAGGCAGGCTAGCCTTGAATTCATGATCTTCAGGCTTCAGCCTCCTGGTTACTGGGATTACAGCATGTGTCAACATGTCCCAGCTCACAATGTTTTAAAATTTTTTTACCATGGGGCTGGAGAGATGGCTCAGTGGTTAAGAACAGTGGTTGTTCTTGCAGAAGACCCAGGTTTGAATCCCAACACCCACATGGCAGCTAACAACTGTCCGTAACCCCAGTTCCAGGGGAAGAACACTGGTTGTTCTTGCAGAAGACCCGGGTTCGAATCCCAACACCCACATGGCAGCTAACAACTGTCTATAACCCCAGTCCCAGGGGATCCAACAGCCTCTTCTGACCTCCGAGGGCATTGCACAACACAGGTGCACTTATCTACATGCAGGTAATACACACATATGTATACAATATAATTAAATTTAAAAAAAAATTTTTTTTTTACCATATCTTATTTATGTGTATGTGTGTGGTTGCCTGTGTGTCATGGCATGATTGTAGAAGTCAGAGAACAACTTGTGGGAGTCAGTTCTCTCCTTCCACCATGTGAGTACAAGGGATGGAACTCAGCCCCTCAGGCTTGGTGGCAGGTGCCTTTACCAGTTGAATCATCTTGCCGGCCCTGAAATGGGTTTTAAAGTTCATCTCCACCTCTCACCACTCACTGTGTGGCCTTAGGAAAAGAGCTTCCCTTGTTGAAGGCTTGGTGCCCATCAAATAGCAGGGCTGGTGGGTGTTGTATGAAAATAAGAGGCTTCATCCTACCTGCTCCTCAGATAGCTGCTGTCACTGTTATTCATTCAACAAACCTAACAGTTCACTGTGTGTCACCTTGCAGTGGGGGCATATATCACCATATGGTGTGCAGAGCCTGGCCAGGCAGGCCCTGGCTGAGTCATCTCATGCCCAGCCAGACCGCAACCCCCACCTGGGTGTGCTCCCATCACAGGAGGGGACTTCAGACGTCTTCCCTCTCCCCCCAGGCTTTGTGAGCCAGGTCAGCACTTCCTAGAGCACACACAGAGGGCAGTGGGCACAGGATGGGCAACCAGAGTCCTGGGGTGGAGACTGGGGAGGACAGATAGGAAGCAAGCACTTCCTCAGGCAGCTACCTCCCCACCTCTTGACCTGGATCTGACCCCAGCTAGATCCTGGCCCTAAAGCTGAGCTCACAGCTGGAGGTAGCTGGGAAGAGCAGCAGGTGACCAGGGGCCAGTGTTATTAGGAGTTCTAAAACTAATGAGATTAATTAATCTGGTGCTGCTGTCATCTGGTGACACTGGGACCAGATGTGTCTTTGTCCTCCCTTCTGGTGTCTGGCTTTTCCTGCTTCCCAGTTTCAATCCCACCACCCCCTAGTCTCCTCTTGCCCCGCTTCAGGATGGTTATCTCTTCAGAGGGGTCCCTCTGGGACCTCCCTCCTGCCAACTAGCCCCACCCCCACCAGCTTTCTCCAAAACCAGTAAGGTGAGGGAGGAAGGCTTGGGCTACACAATTCCAAGATTCCTAGTCTAAAAGGGTCTAAATTCCAACAGTCTGGACTCAGGAAGTTTCTATTCTCTATCTAGATGAGAGGACAGGATCCCCCAGACTCCTGGCCTGCAAGGCTGAAAGACTCTGGAATGTGGAAGTGTGATGTGGTTCATGCCTGTAACCCCAGCTCTCCTTGAGGCTGAGGAAGTAGAAGGATTGCTGAGGATTCAAAGCCAGCCTGAACTACAGAGTGAGACACTATGTGCATGTAATATATATATATAGCCAGGCCTTTAATCTCAGCACTCAGGAGGCAGAGGCAGGCAGCTGTGAGATCGAGACAAGCCTGGTCTACATAGTGAGTTCCAGGACAGCTGGGGCTACAGAGAGACTGTCTCAAAAAACACAACAAAAACAAAACAACAAAAGCTAGTTACCATGGTGTGAACCCTATAATCACAGCGCCGGGGAGACTGTGGAGGCTGGAGGATTGCTGGGAATTTACAACCAGCAAGACCTTACCTCAGGAAAACAAAAACAAGAACAACCCTGCTGTCTGCACACACAGGCAGATCTCTGTGAGTTTGAGGCCAGCCTGG